CTGTTATTAAACAGGTACAGGTCTGAATACTTAATTGTTTTTTAACGTGAACAGTTTTTTTTCACGGTGGGACCACAGTTTGAACTAATTCAGTAGAACGGTCCATAAACAGGTCATGCCACAACATACTCTTGATGAATACGTAGCAGTGATGGCCCTTGGGCTGTTGTATGTTTGTTGAATGCTTAGGCACAAAGGAGCCCCACCTACGCTCACGGTTTGATGAGCACTGGTGCAATTTTCTTGAATTCAGTATCCACCTTCACAAACATCGGTTGTGAATTGAAATTAGAGCCCCTTCCTAATTGGCATTCTGCACACGCCTTCACATGTCATGGTTTGTGTTGACAGTGCGTAAGCCTGGGGCTGAGTTCATTAAAGAGAATAGCGCTTTCACAATCTGTGGAATAGCCTTTGTCTCTCGACTGTAATCTAAGGGTAAATGATAGTTCTATATGGGACGACCTATTCGTTTCTTCTAAGGCTCTGTGTTTATGCCCTGATAATGTCATATTTGTCTCCAATTTAGCATGGAAAGACTGCAATGTGTGCTACCTTAGTAAGGGAGTAAGAATGATAGATGTTTTTTCAGATGTGTTGAACTGATAGATTGCTTTTATACGGTCCAATTTAGGAGCTAAAAGGAGTACCTAAACCAAATGAGCAACTACTAAATCTCTCCTGTGCTTTAAAACAATATTTAGCATCTTTAGAGTTCCGTAATGAAAGACTATTGGAGGCAATATTTATCATCATTGCTTCCAACTAAAATGCGCAGTCATACACCTCAGCGCAGACCAATTATTCAATATTAACATTACGGTGTATGTCTTCTTGGCTTCATTATCTAATATGATTGTCCTTTCCCATGCAGCATGCAGCGAAGCCATAATACGCAATTTAGACAATTAATTTACAGGCTATGTTTGTGCATGCAAGGAATAGCAATGATCAGAGTCATTACCCCCAGCTAATTCCCATCCGAACGGAACGACAACAGGTTTGATGACATTAAAGCAGAAGCAGCCCTGGCTGGATTCGCACCTGTGGGCCGTCCTCCAGTCTAATGCCATCTGACAAACTCAGGAGGGATGATTGATGTCTGTGGTTTGTCCAGTGGTGTGTGCACGCTGTTAAACATTGCCAGGATTTCATGATATTTAAAGCCAATTCTTCATAGTAAAACACTGCAATTATTATTTTTTTTTGCAAAATCAGCTGATTTTAAGATATTTTCCATAAAAAAAATAGCAAACTACATTTAAAAAGCTGTACTTGGGATATTCTGTGCATGTGCAGTGAATATATATGTTCATTGATACTGTTTTGGGGTTTATTTTAGTTTATCTATTACTTTATTCCAATTTTCACAAAAAAAAATATATATATATAGGATTGGAAAAATATTTTCGCAAGATGTTTTTTTTTTTATATGTACATTTACGGTAAATTGGATACTGAGTTGCATTACTTTTATAACTGTTATGCTGTATTATAATTACAGCTTATTATTGTAAGTGTACAGCAGAATGCAGCTACATCTCAGTAATCTTGTGGCACAGGTGACTGTAGAGACACAGGAACAGTTACTATTTTAGAGTTGTTTCCTGTAAAACTGTACAGTTAATTATTATGAAAGTAATGCAACTAGGAGGCAGTAATTTAGTGATACTGACACTATATTGGAATCAGCCAGAAACAGGCCCTTAAAAGCACTGGCTCTTAAATGCACAAATCTGTATCGGCGATGGAGATGACTGATACCTATGACTGATACCACCAGGCAATTTCTGACTCGCATGTGTCAAAGACCAACACGTTGGGTTGACAAGCAGTGGTAAAAATGCTCATGGCAAAATCTTTAATGCCAGTATTTCCTGGGAAAGCAGTGGTGGTGGGTAATATACCAGTTGTGTATGACTGTAGATACAAGGAGGTACACTTAATGAACTGGACAGTTGGTATATATATATATATATATATATATATATATATATATATATACACAAGTGGAATTTTATAGACATCAGGAAGTTACTTAGGTTAGACAGACTTAAGGATCAGGTATTGGTATCAAAAGGAAAAAGCGGTATAGGTGCATTCCTAGTAATTTTACAGTGAGTTTTTTTAGAATGTACGTGGACTACAGCACATTTTTGAAGGCAGAATTCTGCATGCACGTCACAAAAGCAGCCTTACATTTTTCTGAAGCGGCCTAAGGTAATACTCTTACTCAGTTGTAAGCAGAAGCACAGCCTCTTAGTATGTTGAACTGAGTTAGGCTTTATCTGTAGTAGGCACTTGTGTAATGCAGAACAGTGCTTTCATTATTTCCCCCTGCTCAAGAGCTACACATATCCACATGGCCAAAGAATTTAAAGCTCCAGCCACGCTTCCTAATATGATGTCTTTTGTCGGTATTTAAAGGCAACATTCGTAGGTCTTAAAAGTCAGCTGGCACAAATTCCTCTGAAGCAAAGACATTCAACTTTTCCCTCAAAAGAAGCTTATAGTAACGTTTTTTACATTTCCTCATAGCTCCCTATTTCGTTCACAGAGATTTCTTATACAGACAAGCGAGCAGGCTGCAATCTTTATATAGTTTATTGCTTGAGCTCTTTGTTCAGTCCTTTGTGACAGGTTTGAATGACAGCTCAACTTTGGTTATTCATTAAGATCATTTTGGCAACAATTCAAACTGTGTTTTTGAGGCATTTTCTAGAAGAAATAATAACAGCCCAATATCAGTGATCTCAGCTGGGAAGTGATTATTTGATATGAAATTTGTAGTGACATGAAGGAGGCTCAGTAGAGAAATTGTGAATGATACTGCTTTCCGGTGTGACTTAGATCATTGTGTCTGATGGGTCAATTCAAAGTCCATAACAGAGAGAGATGTGCATTGAGTTGTCACTGCTAAGTAAATCTAATTCTCCACACAGTGCACACACTTAAAAATAAAGACCAAAAAGGGATGCCATAGAAAAAACACTTTTGATTCCTTAAAGCAGTGTTTCACAAATCGGTCCTCAGGTTCCCCACATTTTGCTCCACTTAAACTCCCAACAAATAGGGGTGAAGCAATATGGACTGTTTAGGGGTGGGTGTTGGGGAATCTAAGGACCACAGTCTTGTAAGGGTCAGATGTGATCTCGTAACAAGAATGTTTGGGGACAGCCATGATAAATTTTGGGTTAAATGATGGTGGGAACATAGACTTATTGAGGTGGGAACAAACTAAGTGTAAAATTTCAGTAACAACCTAATAAACAGCTACTTCAATCATTACCTAATAGTGTTTTTATGATTGTTAGTAATTATATAACTGCTACATGTGCATGAAATGGTACCATTTGAATTATTAAGAAACTTTTAAATGATTACGTCGATATTTGCTGTCATACTATATTTGCTGTCATACTACATGTCATACTTTTTGTTAATGCTTAATTATTATTAAGTGGTTAATAAATACTTGTTTTAACATTAATTAGCATTCAATTTACCATATATTACAATGTTGTGACTTTTTTTAACGTATTTATAAAGATATATTGTATTACTTATTATACTTAAATATAATACATTTATTTAAAAAACATTTACAGTACTTTAATTGTTTGTCTGGTTAGTAATTCAAATAACACTTATTAATGTACAAGTAACACACATAATTTTAAACTGCTTATCCTTCTGGGTCACAGGGGATGCTGGAATGTATCCCAGCAGTCTTTGGGCAGAAGGCAGGACAGGTCTCCAGTCCATTGCAGGGCAAACAGACATATACATCCACACAGACAATCAAAGACCCTGGTCACCCAGTCAGGGAACCAAACCCAGGCCCTTCTTGCTGTGAAGCGACAGCACTACCCACTGCGCCACCCTGTACAAGTAGCAATTATATGATTATAAACTGTCATTGACAAAGTAGTACATAATTATTATGCTGCTATTTAGAGACTAGAGGACAATTTGAGGGCTGGTTTAAGAGAAGATGTACTCTTGTTAGTGACAAATTTTGATGTAACACATAGGAACAGAACAAAAATGTGGACCATCTGAAAGACTTTGAGGACCATTTTAAGAAGGACTGCTAGAAAACCAAGAACAGTGGTTTTCTTATCCTCAGGGCCCCCAAGAGGGTCCACAGTTTTGCTTTAACCTAGCTCCCAACAAATAGGGATAGAACAAAAATGTAGACTGTCTGGGACTCTGGGGGCTGGTTTGAGAACCCTCACTGGGCCAGACATACTCTCATAGTGAGAATGTCTGGGGACAACCATGAGAAATTCTAGGCTAATGTGGGTGGGAATGAGTGTGACATTTCGAAACCAATCCAATGCCTCATTAAGTTGGAGCTCAAAGTAGAGGGCAGTGGTACAACAGTAGTCAACACTGTAAGGTGGAAAACAAACCTTTTTTGCTGAAGAAACCTGAGTTATCATGGCTGAAAAATCCTCCAGAAAACTTCAGTTAAGCATGTAGATATGTGTTACATGTGCATTCATCACATGCGGTAAAAATAAGCATCCTATCTTGCAACAGAAATACAGTTCCACTAGCCATCTTGCTACTAAACTTATTTTACTTGTCTTAGTGATGGTATTTTGGATGTTAAAAGAGGGCTAGAGGAATTTGGAGGTGGGTTTTATAGGGGCCCATTTGTTAGCAGTGGATTTCGCCCCAGTCCAACACCTAAAGTTCAACAAGCTGTTCCCAGAGGTACATTTTTGTTAGGAGATCACATCTGGCCCTGCAAGACTAGAGAACCACTGCCCTAACAAACCTTTCAAAGGAAGGTTATTTGTTTGTAAATGAGATGTGCGAGTGTAAAGAACCTTTTTAAAGGACACAGAACCTCCACATAATTATGCCGAATACAGGTTTTTCCTAAAAATGTATAGCCAAGAACCAATTAGGAACCTTCAATTTAAAAGTGTAACCGTCCTGTTTGAGACTCAAGAAACATGAAAGTTGACAGTTCCTCTAAAGCTTCCACTTTAGAGGAACTTCTCCATGCGTATCACGCTGATCCTGGCCAGTTTGGAGATCCAGCGGTTAGCATGTGTGCTGCTGTGGCTGGAGGTCTGAACAAAGCCCAGCTTGCGGAACATGGAGATGGCCGCAATATGAGAAGAAGTGGTCTCTATGACCAGTCGAGAGAGGCCTTGCTCCTTGCAGAATTCAATGGCTTTCTCTGTCAGTTGGGTTCCCAGGCCCTTCCTCCTTAGGGGGAAGGAGACGACCAGTTTGAACATTTCCCCTGCACTACCTTCAAGGGATGCCACGTCCACTGCCCCGCCATTCCAGCCGTCACTCATGTCACTCATTGGACCACACTTCATGCCCATTACTGCCATCAGCCCTGCAAGCTTGGCCTGCCCATCGACCTCAGCCTCAGCCACCCAGAAGCTATTGACGGGGTTGTCCAGGAAGTTGGCCTGGATGTCAGCCATCTCCATATCCAGCTTCCTTCTGAGGTAGCCGTCGTAGATCTCGTGGCAGCAGTAGTAGACCAAAGCGGCCCACGCCCCACCAAATAAGATAGCCAGGAAGTAGGAACTTCCGCCCAGCACATAGCCAGCCATGGAAAAGCTGAGGGTGATGCCCACATGATCCGGGTGGCTCATGGCTTTGAAGAAGGCTGGGTAGACGTGCTCCAGGATGCCAAACCGGAATAAGGAGATGACCAAGTCCCTATCTGAGGACTTGTATGGTCTGATTGAGCACTGAACTGCAAGAGAAAGGGAGCGAGAGAGAAAGTTTTTCAAGCATCGACTAATCTGTCTGTTTTTGTAATTCAGAAAATCCTGTAGGCTTGCACAATAGCCACACATAGAGAAGAAAGAAAAGAATGCTCCATTCATTGAAAACACGGTCTTTCATCACAACACAGCACAATAGGCTGAAATAAAATAAAGGAAAAGGTGGGGGAAAAACTTGAAACAGTGGGAAATGTTTGAAGACAGTAAACAAACACAAAAAGTGAACAAAGTTTTGAATAACGGCATTATAGCACTGTTGCATTTTTCATAGTACATTATGTGACTGAAAGTACTGATGTTAGCTAGCACAAGCACTCAAAATTGGTTGAGCTTAAGAGTCAACTAATTATTAATGAAAAGCAGAAGCAACTGGATTAACAATGTGTAATAATGATAGGTAAGAAAAGAAAAGATCTTTCAGATCGAAACAACATTAGACACAGCTTACTGCTAACAAGGTGTCAAGACACATGCTACACCAGAGTTTACACATCAGATGAGATGACAAGCCACCTGACTCAAATAGCTTGCTTCACACAAATGCCATGAGAGTCAGACAGTTGACTTACAGTTATTTTTCTGTGCCATTTCTTCTGGCTCTTCTTCGCTTCTAGCTGGGCCACTCTGCCTCAACGCTCTGCTTCGACACCTCGCCGTGTGAACTTCACTCAGAGTGTGTGGCAAATACTCAATCACAGGGCGGCTCAGGAAAAGCCTCTGAGCATTTCACCACGCACGCACATGCGCGCACACACACACACACACACACACACATACATACACAACACACACTCTCTTATGTGTGCGCACACAAATTCTTGTATATGCACACACACACACATATGCATGCACAAACACTATTATATGTGTGCACACTTGGAAATTTACTATAAAGTGAGTAGCTAAATGATTATCAGTTACTTAAATATATTGCTGTTATTGGAAAAAAAACTCTTATCTCCAAAATGATAACAGGATTTGCAGGAGAAGGAAAAAACCTATTTTACTTTTAATGAAAGTCAATGGAACCAGATTTTTTTACAAGTAATTTTGGGTCATTTCTTTTGGTCCATTCATCATGAAATTTACACACAATATAAAGGGCAACAGGCATTTTCAAATTATGTCAAAAACTGAAAAACAACAAAAATGGAGATACGAGGTTTTCTTCAGACCAGCAGCGATATGTCACACAACACTATGAAATGCATGCACAAGTTCATTATTGATGCTAACCTTATCACTCACGAACATGTCCACTACTTTTAATTCATTTAGATGTTTAGATTCTAAAGTATTCTGTTAAAAACATAAAAAATAACCGTATGTAGATGTAATAATGTAACATGGACTGAATGCAGATACTTAATTTCTGTATGCTGAATATGTATTCTGTTATATTCCAACCTTGAGCATTACACACACACACCATATACAGTCTATTACATGCACAGACACACACATAAATGCTCACATATGGTATTACTCACTCTCTCTCTCACTCACTCTCTTTCTCCTTAAGGGTCATTGGTATTTCATCAAATCAGCTCTAATCTGAAGCTGGCTGTGTAATGAGGCCTGCTTATGCCTGGCTGGACCAGGCATGAGCCAGCATATCTCAGTGACTTAGGGGGGCTGGCTTTTCTGTTTGTGACCTGAGTTTTAATTACAAGTTTTCAGATCAGGTTGTATAAGCTCTTTAAGTAATGGCTCTAATTGGCCCAGGCAGCTATCAAGACACAGACGTTTTAGTGAACCAACCTTAACCTGTAATGAACTCGTCTAAAACATTTTCTTACAATATTACAGAAATTACTGACCCATTCCAAATTCAGAATTAATGCCATGGTGTAAAATGGCTTCTGGAAATGCCATCTTATCCTCACTGTTTGAAATAATGTAGATTGTATTGTTGTGTCATGAGTGTGCAGGACTGTCGTCTTAGAATTTAAAAAGATTTTATTTTCCAGACTTTTGTCTGGAGTAAACTATAGCCTTAATATTTTGCAATTTGTTGCCACCATAAAATATACTTTACACAGAGATAAAGGCAATGTCAAGTCCATTGTCTCAAAACCAAACTCATAAAGTAGGCTATGGGAGAGGAGCAATATTATCCCACCAGCCCAAAACATCACTCAGGCTTTGAGGCACAGCTCAAACACCTCTGTGATAACCACCGAATTCTGTCAAAATAAAGTTCTCCAACACATATCAAAGGAAGTGCTTTTTATCATACACTCTCCATCTTTGGTTTTAGATACTTTACCCGGTACTTCCACTCACTTTTAGATGTCCTTCTACTTCAGTGGCGAACCATGAATATAGACCTTCAAATTGGGCCATAGATGGCAAAACAATGAGGCAAAAAAACAACCTCTATCTCATTTTCTGGTAGCATCTCTATGGAATTCCAGTAGTATGTTAGCACTAAGTTAACATTTTTTGGATGTTCCAGATAAAATGCGGACATTTATAGCCTGTAAAAGACATTCCATGTTTAATTTGAAGCTTGTAACAGACACAGTAACATATATTATTTACCTTGCTCAGTTTTACAATGGCTAAAGAACCCTGGCATGCGGCTACTGCTTTCCATTTCTGACATCTCACTGATATGCATTAGTCAGGCTATCACACGTACTCAAAGTCAGTGACGTATCTAGGTTTTTCCAAATGGTCTCGAGTGAGGTTTCTTCTCATGAAGCTTCTCACCCACTGCAAATCAAAACATAACTGAATCCACTGTCAGTTCCTAATTATGTTAGTAGTTAATCTGACGTATTAGGCCTTCAGTCCAGCTCCTGATGCTTTAACCAATGGGAGAAGATGCTTGGTTGTTTCTACCTAGATAGCAGAGAAAAAAAATCCTGATTGGCTTACTTTCTATTGGCCGTTTCAAAAACACAATGCTTCTGTTTCCAACTATCTTACAAGGACGTAAGTGAATTACTACAATAAATTAAAAATTTACATGCAACGAGCTGAAATGAACTATAAAATAGACTTTTTTAATTCACAGAAATCATTAGACCTTTTCTAAAATGCAAACCTTAAAATTCTTAATTTAAACTACATGTAACATTACTAGCTAAATTAGCATTTAAACAGACACTGTAGTGTGTTAACTAGTATAAGTTATGTAACATCAGCTTACACAAATGTCAAAGTAGTTTCAATTCTGTTAGCTAATGTTTTTTAATGCATTTTGCTACCTAGCTGTTTTGCTCTCGTGTGAAGCCCAGTGTCACACCCCTGTCCTCACTGTGCTGAAAAAAAAACATAGAAATCATTAAGTGTTTCTGTTGGTTCCTGATGATTTTGTCATGCGTTTTGGCTTTTTTAATAGGTTGATATCACAGTGTAAAGGATCCCAATGGTTTAACAGGTGATCAAAGGCTGGTTCTAAATGCACTTCTAATGGGATCTAAAGGTGTTCTACACTAAACTAGTGGTCTCTATTGGAAATTGTTAAGCCAATTCTCATTAGAAAGCAAAACCGTTAGGTTTTAATTCTAATGGTTTATATTGGTCCTTTTTTCAGCAGAGCTGTCAGAGTTAGCAAGTTAACATGTATTCTCGTAACTTTGTTAAAAGCATAAATTTAACATTAAATAATGAGCAAACATGCCTGTAAATTCAGAAATACATTTTGCACCTGAAGTGAAGCTAATGTGCAGTAATCTTAAAATATACAAATGATAAACAAGACAAGAATGTAAATTAGCTTTTATGTTTTTTTAACCAATAGCTGGCTAAATCTGCCTTTGTGGATTTATTCATGACATTGTGGTCGATGCAGCCTGTCACAATTTAAACATGAGTTATTGAACAAATACATTGATTAGGGAGTTTTTGATCTCCATTGTACAATATGATGATTGTATAGCATAGTGGAGAACTTCACAAAAAAGCAAGAACTCACTTCTATCACAATAAGAGTCCTCAAAATTCATAATTCTACTGTTTACATATAAGGTTACTTGATTTACTCAAACAACTATACACAACACATTCTGTTTATTACTAGTAGTCATACACAGTACTGTGCAAAAGATCAGAGAAATTATATTTTAAACTATTTCATTGGGCATCTTTTTTTTTATTTTTTTTTATAAAATACTAATATTAGCATAAATACAAATAACACTGATTAAAAAGTAGCAGTTTTATGCATGTCAGTATGTTCATTTAGCCATTTTCAAACCTCTCCTTGAAAAAGCCCAGTATCATTTGTGGTTATAATCGAATATTTGGTTTGGCTAATCAGTGCCTCAATAAACTAAATCAGGAGTGCTGGTGAGGGAATTTAATAAATCTGTGTGATGGCTGGGGGCATCAAGGAGAAATCTAGAACCAAACCTGTGAATTTCTACGTAGGTTACAAGGTAACAACTACTATTTTGATAACAAGAAATTCTTGTTTTTTTGTACTATATTAATGTTTGTTTGCACCTTTTCTAATGCCACATGCTGTTTTTTTTCCCAAGAAGAACACACACTTTTGCCCAAATAAATAGGTAATTAGCACCTAATTGAATATGAGTTTTTTTAAAACTGACCTAATAAAAACATGAGCTTCACCATGTATTTTGGCTGAACATAAGTTGTTAAATAAATAGTTAAACAAGAAAACTCTAGCTAGCGCCAAAACAGTTTGTGGAAGAATGGTGGGAAATCAACAGAAGAATTAAATATGGGTGAAAAAAGGCAATAATGAAGTTGTAAAAAAAACATTAAAGAGATCAGAATATAGTACTTGGTGTTGTACATGCATTTTGTCAGTGTGGTTTATTTGCTATAAGTCAAGTCATATGCAAAAGTTTGGGCGCCCCTGGTAAAATGACAAATTTTGTTGGTTTTTTAAGTGAAAATAAGTAAAAACATCCTCTACTGAGAACACACTTCTGCACATTTTCGTGCACGATTACTGTTTATTTGCTGGAAAACAACATAAAATGTGGCCTGTGCAAAAGTTATGGCACATTTTGTATTTTATGTTTTATTTTTTTGTCAAACTCATGAGATAAACAGAAATTGTGCACTATAATTTGCCAAAGAATTCCTGCTTTTTGTTTGTTTCTTGTAGAAGTGAACTTACTTTCATGTTGAAACTCAACAAAACGTAATTTGAGTAGGAGTGTTCAGAATTTTGCATATGACTGTAGGTCACACAGCTCAAATCTGGTTACAGCCTTGTTTATAGTAGTAGTTAAATGTACTATATACTATATAGTACATTTACAGACTGTAGCTCTCTAAACCACTCAGCATTGGTCAGGTTCTGTCCACAGGACAGCTATCCTCTATAACAGTTACCAGCTCTCCTCCTGGAAATAAACTTTTTGGCAGAGCTTATTTCCAACCTGTTTCTAACATGCTCCCCTCTCCTGTTCTAACTCTAATGTATCTGATCCAGCCAATCAAGGACTTCTGAAGAAGTTAAGTAGCTGGAGCAGGTGTTGATATCCAGGACCAGGTTTGGTGACCAATGCACTAGAAACTGACTGCTGATGAAAGTCTACAGGATGGCTAACATTAACTGTACACCAGCATAGTGGACCGACAAGGCAAGTGTCTGAAGTGGCCGGTGCACATAGTGTGTACAGTTTCAGAACAAGAAAAAAGACAAATCTCCATATGATTGAAGATGTTGCACTTTCAGTGTTCAGGA